TCAAAATCTGTGTTGGAATGTCTAGCAAGTCCGTCACCTCAAGCTAAAATCGTTTATCATTCAAGTTAGCCACCTAGGTAGGCAATACGACTTTGTCGGATCGCAGACAATGTCCTACAGCTAATCAGGTAAGCAATCTACTTGTGGTGGATGGCAGACCCGTCGTTCAACGTCAAAGAGTGAAACTCAACTAAATTGGTCGTATATACCTACAAAATACACAACTGTAATCTGTAAGAAACAGTTTGTGGACGGCTCTTCGAGATTTTGAAGAAAAAAAATCCCTCCGTTCTACGAAGAGGATCGGTTTGGGTACAAACTGCACTCCCAAAGGTTTTAAAAGAATACATTTTACGGACGATGTGGTAAGAAAAAAAGGTCGAAAAGTCGAAAAACAGAGGGTAATAAATAATCGTAAAATCTTTCGAAAAACAACAACGATATCAATGAGTGATAAAAATATGCGAGATAACTCGTCTACGGCTAGGCCGCCCCGAGGAAACCGAAGAAACCGGCGGCCCGCCGTAGAAATTGCCGGGCGGTAGAAACTCCGGAAACGCCTAACTGGTAACACTGGCATCCCCTAACCCGAGTGACGTTAGAGTTCCGATTGCTTGTCATTTTATATGTTAAGATAAAGATACCGTGGTTGCATATGGTATATCGAAAACAACTCTGAATTCCCTCCAGATAACCACCGCCCACTTGTAAACAATTCCGACCGACGCGTCTCAACGCCGCGATTAAGTGACTCGATGCATATGGTGATAATAGACGAACAGTGGTCACTTCGTAAGGTTCTTCGTTACCCGAAACACGTGCTTTATTCTTAAATTCTCAACTCAATACTCTGTATGTCTTTAAAACCTACTGTCGATTTTTATATCATTTGCATCTCCGAGAACCCTCACTTGCGCACATCACAAAACAAAAACTAGAGGTCTTGCCTGCTCAGACATCTAACGAAAATCAAAACATCATTCATTGTTCAGTAAGTATAAATCTTATTTCAAAACCACACCGCAATGGCTTTCCGTTATCGTCGTGATGGGCGTCCATGTCCATTTGTTATCTACCTTATTAAGCAAATCTCTGATACACGTATTATTATATCATTATGTAAAAAAATAAACCTTCCCCTTATTTTTTTTTTTTTATTGTTCTTAAGCTTCGGCAACTGAGATCATTAGCTGTAGTAGGATTTGTAGTGTATGTTTGTATTGTATATTTTGGGACGGTAGGGGGGAACACGTGTGTGTTTGTTTTTGGCAGAATTTCGAATGGGGCACCCGTAGGTTTCTGCCATGCCCCGGGGGTGGGGGATGGCAGCACTTGTTCTCCGGTCACCGCGACTTGTCCGGGAAAAATGCCGCCCGGTAGCCGAGGATCGAACCGCGACCGGCTGCGTCGCAGCGGACGCGTCAGACCACTCGGTCACCTCATCCCCCCTTCCCCTTATTATTTAAAATACAGATTGTACTGAACAAGCCTATACAGTGTAAAAAAAAATTTATTTATTTTCAAACCTATTACCTATTTACCTGCATTGGTATGTCTACTAAATTATGTACTTTTGTCAATAATCATAAAATATTATCAGTGATTCGGACCAGGGCTGGGCACGTCATAAACAACTATTTTTTTTTAACTCGTTAAGTTAAATTAATATAGGAACATGTAAGTTAAATTTAAAGTTAAAAGTTACCTTTATTTTTTTTTAACTTGTACAAGTCATAAGTTAATTAGAAAATAAAAGTAATTTAACTCAGTTAATAATAAGTTACTTTTTTCAAATATAAGATTAATAATTATACCAACCTGCCTTTTTTTAACCTAACAAATAACAGAATAATTCTATAAATGTCTTACCATTTTTAAATTGATGTTTGTAACAAAATTAATTACTGTAAGTACTTATATTTGTATATTATTCTTTAATCAATGATAAAATCCTATAAAATAATTAAATTGTTTTTATGAATTTGTTAAGGGGATCGGTGGCGAAAAGTTATTTTAGTCAAAACATACCAATCTTTTGTCCATCATACTTATCGGCCTAGCAATACGATAATACTTTTTAGAAATGATTTGAATTTGTTATTATATCCACTTCAGATTGGTCAGTCTACTTTTCCCAATTACTCCCCCCGACAACAATAAATTTAGTTTAAAATGTTTGAATATTTTGAAATTTTGGAATTTTCAAAAGTTGATTATTCGGAATTTAATTCAGAAATCTTAAAATGTGTGCTGACCGATCTTCAGTAGATATTAAAACCAATTCGGACCAGTTTGCTAAAATAGGAACTCGTCCAATATGCTATCTACCACACGTTTGATGGTTTAGTGTATGATATCCACCATAAATATTTTATCTACCATCGACTTAGTTGATTTTCATCTTTTCGTAAACACCTAGGTTTGTGTTACCTTTATTTGAAATACCCAATACCAAACAAGTTCTAAGATATCGCACAAATTTAAACCATTTTATTTATATTAATATATATATATTATATTACATTTTATTTATTATAATTAATAGATTTTAAAAATTTTTTTTTCACTTTTAATTGTTACACTTCACATTTTTATCCATGTACTTAAAAAGGTTATTATTTTTGCGTATAGAGTTTAATGTTTGGCACCCTTTTTTGTACATTGGTAATAAATTGTTTTCAAAATATTACCTTCCGAATCACGTTTTCGATTATTTTTTAGAACTTTTTTCAACACCACAAATTGTTGGGTTCTTAATTTTTGTACATGTTTGGTCGATTGGTAATAACCGAGTATGTTTAAAAAATGTTCTCACATCTCTTCATTTTGAATTATGTGTTGATATAAATGACACATAGTTGACAAACTCATAATACATAATATGTAATACAACACGACTCGTAAACATACTCTAAACAGTTTTAATATAAAGGTATACCTACTAATCTACCTATCCTACTAAATTATGGTAGATAGCATATTGGACGAGTACCCTGAAATATTATAGCATTATCATATCGATCGGCAGGATTTTTTTTTACAATAAGTGCATACAAATGATCATCAATTGTTTACCGATCACTAGTGCAACGCCGTGTAGATGACTTTTATATGCACATGCGGGAACGCTTCACTATTTCTTTTACACACAGTCAAACACACTAATCATCACGTAGTAAGTCTACGTTGACATTTACAAGACCCGCATATACGAAATTTAAAATGGCCTATTTAAAACTCCTTAAAAATCGTCCACCACCGATCCCCTTATCGTAAATGGTGCACAACTATATTAAATATTATAATAATCAAATTCATTATTATTTATTGGAATATAATTAATTGGTTACACAATATATAATATAAAATATTATTCAATTAATAGTAAGAATACAATATTTCATCAAGCCGTTATTGTATTTTACCATTTTAGTAGACAGTACGTAGTGAGGTGTATTTGGTGTAATTATGAATATCAAAAGTAAAATAATTCAACCAAAAACTAAGCCTTTCAACATGCGTGCTTTAATTATCATAATAAAAAAATTGTACTTTACCAAACATTTCGAAACACAATACTTTTAACTTTCAGTCCATGATCTCTATCCATTCAAGTAAATACGATATACTCCCTACTACGAGTTTAAACTACAGTCAAAACTCTTTATAACGAATCTGAAGGGACCAAGAGATTTCTTTCGTTATAGAGAGTTTTCGTAATAGAGAGGGTTTAAAAAAAACAAAATTTTAATTATTTATCAAACACTTCATTATTTTTACATTATTTTATATATATTTACGTATTATATTAAATTATTATTATTATTATTATACATACTTATTAAATATAATTATTAATTTTTATACTATACATATTTATACTTTATTTAAAATAGTCTGTCATCTTAGTTTGGACTTTTTTATTTGGCATTATTGCCGATTATTTTTATAGTTTATATATGTAATGGATACGATAACAAGTAAATTGTATTATGAAACATAAAATATTGTTTCGTTATTGAGAGTGACTAATACGTTATAGAGAATGAATTGTCTAATGGGTTATATAGCAAACCAACCATTATTATGTAATGTTTACGTTATATAGAGTTTTTCGTTGTAAAGAGTTTCGTTATAAAGAGTTTTGACTGTATTTACATCGACTGGCCAAGTTATTGCTGTAATTCTATGAATGAATAAAAATTTAATAATAAGTAACAATTTTAATAATGATTAGGCATGTATAATGAGATTACAAACGTATATTAATAATTGAGTAAATTGTTATATTTTACTTTTATTGATGACGCGGTGACCCCTGTAACATTTCCGTCTATAATGAAGTTGTACATTATTTTTTGTGAATATGCAATATAATAATAACTATTATTATAAATTATTATTTACTAATTAATGTGTTTAATATTTCGGGTTTATTTTTATAGAATTAATATTTACAAAATTGAATTTATTTTAAATCTTTGGTATAGGAAAAAATTAACTTAAAGCGGAAATAAAATTAATTAACTCGTAAGTTACTGAATAACATATTGAAAAATGTAACTCGTTAGTTAGAAGTTATTTCTAAAAAAAAAGTAACTCGTTAATTAACTTACCTAGTTAAAAGTAACTTAACTTTTTAACTTATTTACTCATTAATACCCAGCCTTGGTTCGGACAAAGGCAGCAGTCGACTGAAATACTTATTATTACGCTTACCTACTGAGTTAATGATTAGAAAAAACAAAAAATAATATTATAAACGTTTATGGGTATGTGCTTAAACAGTAAAAATAATTGTTTACTTTTAGATCACCACAACATCACCTTCCCTGCCACAACCTACACAGCGTCCACCACCATCACCTCCACAACCACCACAGCTGCCACCAACACCCGGCTGACCTAGTGGAAGCGATATTGTAACTTTGCATTAACATAGTATCAAATACGTATTAATAATCCATTTTTCACCACCGCGGATTATACAGAGTGTGACGATGGCGGAAAAAGTGGAATCGATGGACCCTCATCGTTTCGACGACTTGTTCTATGCATTTAAACAATTGTTTATGCACAGAAGTTTGGTTGAAATATTCTGGTCTGAAAACTTCTCCAAGATGAATTTCCAACGGTTGTCTGCGTTCCCCATAGACGTCGTGCGTCCTTACGTGCAGCGAATGTTGCGGGTACACGGATCGGGACCGTTGCTGCACACCATCATCGCAGCGAACTTTGAGTGCAAACCAATGCCGTCCAACACTGAACAGTTCGCTTTCATCGTGGCCAGTAAAACAACTAACAATATTTATTCTAAGATAGATAAATTGGGGCTGATATCTGCGTGTGGCTTGGACAATCAAATGTTGGTAGATCATGATAAGTACCATTGTCTTCGATGTGGAGTTTCCATACAGGGAATGGAATTGGACATTATCGAATCGCTGCAAATGCATGCTATGGTCTGTGAGATGTTGATTGATCGTAGATATCTCGAGCCGCTGAAGAGTTTTTGGGCTGAGTCCGACCAAAAGGCGTACACGAATTTCTTACATAAATCACTGGCCCAGACCATGCTCACGAAGCTGGGCTTGTTAATTCCTAGACCAAGACTGTTTGACCATCTGCCGTTATCGGCGATCTTGAGCAACAGGATCGATTCTTTAAGCATGGTATTGGTGAAACGCAGGCGTCTGCTCTTGGATGACGAAGCGTTAGACAGGATAGCACAGGCCGGATACCACGCGGATTTCAACAATAGATTGCCATATGATGAGAGGAAAAGAGAACACGAACAATTTACACGAACCCCGGTTGACAAAAGAAAAATCACGTGCTTTTATTGCTATCATGAGGTCACTTTGAGCGTCGAATTTGTCAGTGACCCATGGAGGTACCACGCCATGAAGTCGCCTGCATGCTTGTATTTGTTGATGAATAAGGGCTCCGAATACATTAAACAGATAGAAGAATCGAAGTACGACTTGCGCTCGAGAAAAAATAAAATAGATCGATACAAGGCCATAATTGATCCCAAGTTGAATTTGCGGCCGCCAACTACTCCTATGGGGGAGTTGTTCGATCTGCGCGAAGGAGTCATGGAACGAAAAAAAACGTGAGTAGATATATTATTTACGTATACGTGTTATAGTAATTTGTGTGAGGGGGAGGGGAGGCGATAGAGATAAATAATATTGCCTGGCATACGGGAGCTTAAGCATATATGTTTTTGCACTTGATCTAGATAATTTTTTTTTTTTTATTTATTTATATAATTGTTTCAATACACCTGGTATTTTTACAATGTTACTATTTTACAGATCACAGATCTTATATTATATAATGTATAATAGTTTTGGTTAGCTATGAGTCCGGATCAGTATCTGAGGTTGAGGTGTCTTCGTAGGATGTCCTGACGTAGCCGAGGTTTGAGTCTCAGATTTGTGGGTCTCTTGCCGATGTTGTAGTGATGTTATAGTGATCTAGATAATTGATTATCCTTTACATAAAATGTTCAAAACGTGTTGCTCGTTTAGTAACCTAGTGATGTAAATTTGTATGATACACAACATGAAAAGCCAAATAATATTTTAATTATAAACATGCTATATTTTGCACAAAAAAACACGAGTATTATGAATTATGTTTATTAAAACTAATTTATTCAATCATTGGTCTCATTCGATTTAATTTATTAATATTTTTAATTCAGTTACTTATAAGAAGGGCTGGGATTTGTATTTAAATACATATTTTTACTAAAACATGATAAATCAATTGTTGTTAATGATAAATTCGTTTCACGTGATTTGCAGTAAAATTACAAATATTTTATTTTACATGTTATTGCATATTTTGTCATCAATACATACTATTTACAATATTTATACATTTTTTGTTTTTTTTTTTTTATATATTTCGTAAATTTCTACAAAAAATATAATATGTAATATAATTATTTGTCAATTTAAAATTCATCAACATTAGTAGTTTAGTAGTATTATACATGTATACGTCGATAATGGTAATAATAAAAATTTTAGGTGTAAATATATTGGTATATACCTAATTGTATTTTAATTTAACACGTTTACGTATTAAAAATTTTTTTTTACATATTTAAAATTTTTTACTACATAGTTTTAGCGATTTTACTTACATATATATGTATATCTTTTTGGTTTTTTTATTACATATAAATCCCAGCCCTACTTATTAGTTATTAGTGTTATTACCTACTAATTTTTTTGTTAATTTGAAATCTAAAAAACTATACCTACCGGGAAACACTTGTTGAACCCTCTATCAGTTTTCATTGTATCGTTGTTTAATGTTAATGCATAGCCCTTCTGCAATTCGAGAAATATTCTTAAAATAAATTTTTTTTTAATTGTATTTTGTGTTTGTCATCATCAACTTGGGGGCAGTAAAAATGATTCTATTTTCTACTTCACCATTTTTTTCTGGCAGGAAAGTGAATCTAGTAGGTACGTCAGGGGTCAAAACTAAAAAATTCCTAGCAGTTTACAAAAACATCGGAAAAAATAAAAAAACAATTAAAGAAACAGGAAGATTTTTACGACTACGTCTTTACAGCAGAACGATACTCACCTTTTTAAAATGTTTATAACACAAAAAAAAATAATCATGTTATACACATGGTAGGTAGTGTACGACGTTTGATCCCCGTATAATATATAATAAAACTAAAAAACTAACATTATTTGTACACCATTTGCATTGTATATAGTCGGAGTATGCCCGTATAATAATAGTAATCCCGCTGTGCACTGTAAATTATTATTATTACATCATTATCGGCTTAGACCACTATATTAATATGTTTTCCAATATTTTATTTAATAAAATAGCCAATTTACATGTACAATTAACTATTACAATTTACAGGGAGTTGAGAGTGGCCTTGTCGTCGACCAAAGTTCCTTCATGCGTCGTGTGCTTCGTCAAATTGCGCACCGTCGCTCTGATGAGGTGTTTACATTTCGCGACCTGCGGGAATTGTTCGTTCTCAATTCATAAATGCCCCTTCTGCAGAATACCAATCACCGGCTACATGATGCCAGTGTATCAGCCCGACGGTTCGTTCTGGAAGCAGCCCGACTGTGTTGGCGGAAATTATTTTTTGAACCTGCCGTGCTGCCACTTGATAGAGTCATGTGTGCCAAACAACGTCGATCGGTGCCCAAAAGCGGATGCCGTGGAAGAGGACGAAATCTATTGCGTCGTGTGTGGTGACTCAAAGCTGGGCAAATTAAGGCTCTACATGTAAATATTGAGAACTAAAAGTATAAATGCATTATTGTGTAGACAGTGCTCGAATTATTATTGTATGTAAATAAATATATTGTGGACCTTATTATAATTACTATTATACAATTTAAGAGTCCTCATCTCTTCTTACACCACGTAGCACAGTACCCCTCCTTCCATATTTAAATATATTATTATGTAAGTGTTGAATTATACAAAACTAATCTCTAAGCAATTAAAAAAATATATATTTTTATTGCTTTTGGTAAATAATCAATTAAAATTTAAAACGATTATAAGTAATTACTATGACTTATTAAACATACACTTTATCTTGAAAAATAAAAAAATAATGACAACTGCAGATAAATTAATAAACCATATAAATTCACAGATCTATAAAAATGTAGGTCAACAGACTGTTAACATATTTTTTTGGCGATTGTAAACTGCGCTCAAAATACAGGTTAACACAACATCACATATTATTAGATTTTATCAAGTCTAAAAAAGTGACATTTAACTGCAACTGGGTAAATTTTGAAAATGAATAGCTATATTTTTGCAAAAGTAAAGAAAATTACGAATCTATAATTCAAATCCCTTATTTATACTTAGTTCATTACTGCTATATATGAATAAGTAATAGAATAAAATTGAAAATCAAAAAAATTTTAATTTAAAAAAATATAATTTTAGGACAAATAATATCATATTGTTGATACATTTACTCATCAATTGGAGTTTGACCACTATTATATTTATTAATTAAATGTTGTAACGTTTTTCGTTTATTTTTTGTCTTAGAATTTTGGTATTTAAAGGGTTTATTTATACTGCCCATTTAATTTAATATACGTTATAATTAATTTATGTACATGCTCACCCTTCCCCTGGCACACCCACTATTAATTCAAGCACCGAGTTTTAGGTATAGTTTGTGATTGACAACTGAGTGACAACAATTAATATGGTGGATTAAAGTATACAAGTGTTACTTGGTCGTTATTTTGAACCTATAATAATTATAATATCATTATTTAGGGATTATATTATGGATTTGAATATGTTTGTATACAAAAATTGTTACAAAAATTCAACGGTGTGTACCCTTTTACTTTGAGTCCATTTTTAAGTAACGTGAATATCGGTTGTTGTTTGCGCAATAATTGAGCATCACTAATGTTAATTTTGAACCTTTTTTGTTTAAGTTGCGCATCGTTTGATTTTTCGGTTATACATCGTTTGCGCATCAACCGTTTAAAATGTTGTACATCATTTGCGCATCAATATTATTTAACATTAGAACTGAAAAAGGTGTATACCCAAAAGTTGTTTACTAACTTTAATAGTTTAATCTTGATATGCTTACATATCTCTAAATTAAAATTTTTGAATTTCATATAGGTATTTCCGTTTTAAAATATATCTGTACTAGAGTACTATTGTGTTCGTCAAAAACTTGACTACATTCAAAAACATTGTCTTAAGAGGACGCCACACCCGTATTGTTGTCTCCGTCTTATAAACGCGTAACATGCCAAATGTAGGCCCTGCTGTTCACGTTGTATGCCGTTAGCTTAAAAATTAGAGGGAATCGACCTATTATGAAACTTGATGGTAAGAACTTTGTATATGTTTTTTGGAAAGTTTTTTTACAACAATTCAGTTTTTAATTGAGTTATGAGCATTTTAAATTTAAATTTACCATACAAGCATTATATCTCACTAAAAAACTGAATTTTTGTAAAAAAACTTACAAAAAACACAGATAAAGTTATGTATAAGAGTATAAGACCGAGACAACTTATACGGGTGTGACGTCCTCTTAAGTATACCACCGGTGAAATAAACAGTTTTCATTTTGTGAAAATAATGGGACATTTTACTAATGATTGATTTTTATTTTTTAGTGATTAATTAATTGATTTGTATGCAATTCATTTTTTATTCATTTCTATTCAAACTATAAGACGTATACATGTAAATGTATGTATTTTTATTATTTTTAAACTTAACTTATTCATCATCCATAAATATTATATATTCTATAGAATTTTTTTACACCCTTCTATTGTTCGGAATATTGATGCACATATTTTGATGTATAATAATTTGGTGCAGGTAAACAGGCAATGTGCAAATGATATACGGCCAAATACTCCATCAGTTTAATTGCATTGGCCCATTTTAACATTTTTATCGAGTTTTATATCTTTATAATATATTTGCAGTATGAATTGGTATTTATTCTTCAAAAAAATAACTTGTGACTTGTAATACAAAATTACAAAGTATACAATAAACATTTATTTGAAATACTACTATTTTGTTTACGAAATCAATAAAAACATTCAGTGAGTAAAAATTTGTATAATAATATTATGCTCTGTACAATTCGGTTTTTGGACTGATAATAGGCGTAACCTTGTTGTCATAGTATGCAATTATTTCATCGACCCTCTGTTAACCTAATTCTCGTCGTTGCTGAAATTACCTGCCGCCAGTCGATGTTATCTGGTTTTGCTCTTTATTATAGACATAATGTAATCCAGTTCATATCATAAGCGTGAGTACCTACCAATTATAAAAACTTTTATGTCAATTTTGACGCTCGATAACCTGACCTAATGAGTACCTAGTGGTATTCGGGTGTATGTTAAATACATACAACATATTATATTATAATTTATTATGGATATATAGTTCATATAATATGTGAATACGTACAGCGCACAACGCAATTTATGATGTAACATGTGCCCAGGGATGTATTGATGGGGGTAGCCGGTTCTTACTTACTAGAGCTTACGGAGTATAATTATTACTTTTACGGTGGTGCGTGGGTAAACAAAATATTAAATTATTATTTGCCATTTTCTGTTCATGGGGGGCGGCATTAAGTAGACTGCTAATAAGTAATAAATATCAGTAATATCAGGTGGTTTTCAAAAAGCATTTTAAGAACCAAATAACCGGCCCGGAGTCGAGAATACGCGTAACCTACCTCGATATGTACTAATTAATAGTTCTCAATTATTTAAAATTATATCCATCATATTATTTATAATCTCACAAATAATAATGTATGAACACTTAAGATAGTTAAAATTGGTCCTGTAAAAGTAAAAGTAACCTACAATCGTCATGTTTCTTTTTGCACAGTAAGGGTTTAGAAAAAATCTTTTTTTGGGCAAAAGAAGATTAATTAATTATTACTTTTTGATAACGATAAAAGAAAAACCAGTGTGACTTACCTCCGTTACAAAGACGCATCCACGATAACAGCTGAACAATGGAATCATTACCCAGACACTTACACTGTTTAATTTTGAAACGAAACTAAGGGCTTTGTTTTGTGCATATAGTCTGTGCAGATTTGTGCAGAGGCTCAACATTTGTGTTATCGAACTTTATGAAATATAGTTGTCTTTATTAGTGAGTTCTAAGGAAACGGTAGTAGGTACCTGCTTTTTAAATATATAATTATCACACACCGTAAAATTGGGTGACTCCGAGGTAAAATTTGAACTTTTTTTAAAAATTAACCTTAATTTATTTTTTCTAAAATTATGAAAACAAAATATGTTGTTCACTTATTATATTTTAATATTAAAAACAGAAAAATAATCATTACGATCATTAAAGTTCATACTTTTTTCCAAATTTGAATTTTGTCCGGAACGACTCCTCAACATTGATTAATTTTGGACATGTACTAGATTTCATTAAAAACGGACATTATAATAATTTCAACGGTTGCTCCGGACAAAATAAATATTTTTTTAAAAAATATGTTATAAATTGAAATAAAAAAAACCATACATTTTTGCAAATACATCATAATTTATTTAATATTGTAAGTAACTTAACATAAAATAACGCTTTACTTTTTCTATTAAAATGTAAAAACTTAAATTTTTTTTTACTTTTCAAACACAAACTAATTATTATTAAGTTTAATTTTCCAAAATGGTTATATTATGTAAATTGTGAAATTATTTTATTTCATCAATGAAAATTATTTGCATCAATTTCATCATAAATATATAAGGTATATAACTCCATACTTTCATTTTCCCGAATTTGACCAGTTGCGTATTGAAAACCGATATTAAAATTTAAATGTTTTTATTACTCTTATAAAATTACAACACTTAAAATTTAAATTGCGCATTTTATAATAATCTAAATACAGACAAATTAGTATTTTTTTATAATACTCAACACTTAAGATTTTTTTTTAATCACCTACCTATATATGTCGTGAGTCAGTCGTTTTTTTGTACAATACAAATATCTGCGTCCGAATTCTGCAGTTCATCTACATGCTTACACAGATATACATGGTATAGTGGTACATTGGTATATATATAATATACTGATATATTACGAGCTGTTGCAGTGCTGAAACTTCTAAATAAGTGCAAGTGGTAGGTAAGTGCTATTAGTTATAATTTATAATTTTTAAGGAGTGCTAGGATTTCTACGAATTTGCATATTTTTTTCCTCAAATTCAAATTGATTGGTTGCTAGATATTTATACGATTTGGGTTACTCTCGATTAAATAGAACAACTTTATTTTTGCAAATTTCGAATATAATTATTAAATTATAATTCACGTAATTTGATTTTTGAAAATCTTTCGAATTTTAAATGGTATTTATTTAATGAACGTCTATAATAAATTATTAAGTCATTTGTCGATTTGTCGTGAATTCACTATTTAATATTATTTTGGCTACACGAACGATAGGATTTATATGTTACTTTTGTTTTTCATTAGTACGACAAGTTTGAGACAATATAAATCCATTCTTCGTACCAATAAATTGTTCAATTGTGTATTTACATTTAAAAGAACATATATCATTACAGAAATATTCAAAGTAATACTAACAACTTACAGCAAATAATAATTCTATACATAAATAATTATTATTAATTAGTTGTTTCTGTTTTAATTGTTATTTGGTATTTATGTAAAAAATATTAATTGTTTTACCTAGGTATGTAGAAAATAAAATTGTTTTTGCATGTTTTTGCATACTTTGGTGAACAAAATGCACATTTTATAATTTTTAATTGGATATAAATCTAAGTCCTACTTATAACTGTAAGTTTACTAGGCGATAAATAAAAGTTATCGTAAAAGTGCTCGAAAATATTCTCCAAATAATAATTACCATAATAATCATGCCTATAAAGCAACTTGACAAAGTTTACATTTTAATTACACATTCATACTGTTTTTGAACATAAATTCAAAAACTGAAATCAATGCAACAGAAAGTCGTGACGATGTACTCGTATGATACTATTTTTTTAGATTGAATTTAGTATAATAGATTTAATATTTCGGCATGTTTCCATTAATATTTTTATTATAGACAAATGCCTTAAAAAAAAAAAATGAGTGGTGTAACAGACGTTCAAAAAAAACATAGTTATTGAAAATTGCTCAAAAATCAGGAAAAATATTTCTAATATGTTTGAAAAATAGATAAAACTTGAACCTGCAGTATGCAACCAATACAAAATAATTTATATTATTATGACTTAAAATATTAAGCTAAATATTAGCTAACAGAGTCTTAATTTGTATGTACAATTGTTTTTATAAAATACCTGTACCTTATATTTTGCAAATAATGTACATATACCTATACCTACTTAACAAAAGGGGTTGCAGTGTACCTCAACAATATTTAAATTATAAAATATGTGAGGTTGGAATGGTAATTAGACAAAATTACGAGTAGATATTATGTGCTTGCGAGTGAATGTTTTTAAGCTATCCGTTTTGGGCTGTTTACAATAATTTTCATCCCGCATATAGATCCCTTTCCCCACCGTATAACTCTGCTAGCGGTAGTAGGCCGTTATCGCCCACTCGGCACTCACTGCCTCACTATAGCAGTCACTACACACTATTCAGACGCATCGGACGACTCTTGCTCGTCCCGACGCCGCCAAATTTCAGCCAAACAGTTGTACCGACAAATAATTTATTATAGCTGTATACCGCTTTTCCGGAACGTGAGTAAGATATTTATTATTTGTATTATCAATAAGCAACAATCATGATATAATATCCTCGATTGATAACGCAGCCGCGTGCTATCGCGATCGCTCTGTACGTAATAATCATTGATCATAGTACCATAATATTATTATCGTTTATCAGTTGAAATATCTATTGTCGTCTTCCACCTCCGGTATAGGTATATAACGTAATATGACCCTTGAAATACGTCGTTTTCGGTATACCGGTAATAACTGCTGGTATTCAAAAAATATCGGTACCCAGTATCTTTGGGTATTTTAAAATACTGGTATTTCGTGATTTCGTAATTACAGGTGTTTCCGAATTTACCGTGCCACGATATTTACAAACATAATTTTTAATACAGATGTATAATTTTCCTGGTTTGGAAAACACATAAGTTCATCAAAAATACTGTATGATAAAACTGTTGATACCGGTAGTAAACAAATATCGGAATCAAAATTTGAAATACCGCCAGTCCTAGTTAGTTTATTATACAACCAATCTAGCGGTTGTAAAAATAGCAGTCACTTTTTCACATCGTAGTATAACGTTTTTTAGGAATTCGTCGATCAGTATCTTGAATAATAATAAAATATATATTGTAATCTTTACATATTTATGTATAATTGTTAAGTAGGTATGTAGGATATAATTTGGTACCTATCTATTATGTGTTTAACACTTTTATCCATCTATAACTAATAATACCTGGTTGATTTTCTACTAAATCTCATTTCTGTTCGTTTTTCACGTTTCACTTATATAGTTATATCACTATAGGTAATTACGTAATATATTATAATAACCTATATTATACTGGAAACAAATTCTTATTAAAATTTAAAACTTTTCATAAAACATTTAACTTACATATAACTATTTTAAGTGATAAATAGTGTACCCAATACATTGTTTATGTATTTTTTCAGTACCAATTGAAAATGACAAGTAGTGGTGATAATACACAAATCAGACTGAATATGAAACTGCATCGACAAAAACTTCTTAAATTTTTGGAGGGTACTAATGATACTTTTATAAAACCTAAAATCGAATTAGTTTCAAAGTGTGTCGAAAAATCACATTTGGAACCTAAAATTGAAATAATAGACCCTGAACCTTCTAAAGTAGACCTCAAAAAACACTCAGATCAATTACTTGAAGAGACTCAAAATTATGATAGTTCAGATGATATTGATGAAGAAATTATTGAAGGTTTGGGTGATGATGATATTTCTGTTAGATCTGTTGATTGCAATGAAGATTTCACAATACACAATAACAGTGATATAAATGAGAACAGTGATGTAGATGAGAACGACGACGATGAACAATTAGTCTATGACAAAATCAAAAAAACATGTAAGTATCTAAGTTATTGTTCATCAATAAATATAAATAACATAACTATATTGTACTAACTGAATTTTATTTTGTTCTTAGACTTGGATAATAGTTGCCGCAGTCTTATCCCTGTATTGGACGTAAACGGTTCATCTACCAGAACTAAGCATTTTGTGGTTGATAAAACTAAAAAAACATCAGCTGCACTTGCAATGAGGAGACTTATAAAACGTGAATCTAAAAAAAAATCACTAAAAAAATTGGTCAAATGGTATGCCGTTTTGAAATTACTTGAAGTACATTTGAAACACGAATAAAAGTGGCATCAAAAGCAAACGTACTACAGAATGCTAAAAAAGAATGCGAAATGTTAAGACATAATATGGAAAATAAGTTGAAACTATTATCTATTCTAAATTATAATCAAATACTCTGTATGATACAATTATGTCATATAGAGTATTTATTACAACTCTAACAATACAAAATGTATCAATGTTTGTTTTTACTATGTAATTAATTATTGCCAAATTTTTAAAATAAATATCATCAGAATACGATCACATGAACTTGGTTTAGGACACTGTGTAGTGTAATAATGTATCCTGGTTACCATTTGACAGTATTACTATTGTAGTTGGGCCCGAATTTTCTTAAAAATTCATACTACACACTTTTTATGTACCTATCTACAATCGTATGATACATTATTGATTGATAACTACCAATTTACTACTATATTTATTTTACCATAAAATACACTTCTAAAATATAAATTTAAAAACAAATGACACGGTTAAAATTAATTTAATACATTATTCTATGTAAGATATTTCATTTAAAATTGAAGTCATATAATAATCGATTCCTCTCAGTATTTCTTCGTATAACATGGTATAATTATTGCTGTTCATTATTAATTTTTGGTGTGTTTTATTTCTTATTTCTTATTATTTTTTATTGTATGCTAATATTTCAACCATGTCCTTAAATATTTCTTGTCATATAACAATTGGGGTACCAGCCCTTCCTTTCAATAAATAAAATAAATACAATAAACAAATTGTATTATTTCGTATTTGTGTCTATTTTAATCGTGGTAATTAGTTAATAATATTATAATATTTTGTACCTTAGCAATGTATCAACCTACATTATTATTATTACATTGATAACTCTAAAAAAAAATATGACGAGGAATCTCCTTCACAACACAGGTAAATAATAATATTAAAATAACTGGTATCTATCTCGACATGTTCACTATTCACAAGTTAAAGGAGAGAATTAAAGATCTATTTGGTAAAATTTAATTGAAAACAAATTATTTTTGTTATCATAGAAAATTTTATTTTTAAAAATACAAATAAATGTTTGATTATTATGAATTTTATAGCCGTGTAGGTTACTATAGGTCAGTAGACAGTAGTCTTTTATAGCACACAAATTCGTAACACATATTTTCAATTTAAGACTACACCTAACCTAACCACTTTGCGTCGGGTTTACTAAAAAATAGCAGCTGGTTTCACTGGTTTCAGTTAAGTAGGTACATTATACATTCATGAGGCTGATCGATAAGTAATAACTTAATTAAATCAAACAATAAAATGGTCATCGATTTCACCATTTTGGATATTGCATTAAACTATGAAATAAAATCATAAAACAACACAAATAATATGATAGATACAAAACATAGAAAAAATGACGGGCTTAATATTTAATTATAATTTATAATAATAATATATATTTAACAAACAAACAGTTCATATAATACTTATATATATACCATTAATTATAATTGTTTGCACGCCTCCTTTAAGCTAATGCTATAGTTGAAGGTGATGAATTCATAATATAGCTATTAAGTAGAAAAAAAGAAAAAAAAATTTCTATAAATACTTAATTAATACTTAAATAATATTAATTAATAATTATATATACATTGTATTTTGTTAATTATGTTTACAAGGTGGCAAACACATTTTATGCTTAAGACTTTACAGTAAAGTACATTTGGTAAGAAGCTTGTCAAAATCCAAGACATTTAATTCTTTTAAATAAATTTAGTACAAGCAAGAATAGGAACTTTTAAAATAAATAACTAATAAATAATTTTATTCGTAGTCAATTTAAATTTGTTCGAGTGGATTTCATAAGCACCCACCCATATCTCAATATCAAATGCAACAATTGATTGTTATGGAAATATAATAATAGTTCTGAGTTGCTGTTTATCGAAAATATATCTTAGGTCTTTAAAAACATAGAAGAATTTAAGACTTAAATTTATATAATATAGTTTATATGTATGTTGATCAATTTTAATTGGGAATCTATGTATATTCCCAGATATTTAATAGAATAGACTCTTTCAATATTATTAGAAGAACAATTATTCGAAATATAATTAAGACTAGAATTATTTTGGACGCTTAATTTCCATAATATATCATGATTTATATTTTGAATATTAAAGATTATATGCTTAGTTGTATTTAAATTTATCTCTAAATAATTATTATTGAACCAAGATACTACAATTTGGAATATGTTGTTAGATTTATAATATAATTGTCAATACTTTTTCCGTGAATGAGAATGACAGTATCATCCGCAAAGCAAATAACTTTTGAATCAGCATTAATACTTAGCAAACCATTTACTTATATAATATAAAATATAGTTCCAAGAACAATCACATATAGAACACCATGGTTCATTTTTAAAAGGGAACTATATTATGTATCATTAATTTTGACAATTTGTACCCTATCAGCTAGGTAAGATCTAATGTAATCATTTTCTTTTCCGCATATTCCAGCAACAATTTTTTTTTAAGCAACAACTCGTGATTAAACTGTCAAATGTTTTTTTGACATAAAAAAAATGCCATAGGTACCTTTATTACTAAGATCTAAATTCTCATGAATGGATTTATTTACAAAAAAATCAATATTTTATTTTTACTTAAATTTCTCCAGTCCTCATATTCATAGCCATTTTTTATTTTATTATCCTCAATGTTTTTTTTCTCTGATAACAAAGAAAACATTAAATTAATTTGCAATACTGCTATTATCACAATGATCGTGTTATTACGAGCGTAGGTAAATTAAGTCCCTAATTAAATTATACATTTTCAAAAGTGGTGAAATGAGTCCATTGTATAAAAGTTAAAGTGGTAAACTAAGTACCTTGTAAAAAATTACAGCGGTGAATTGAGTAGCTCGTATATTATTAGACAATTTTTCAAAATTACCTATATACGTACAGCCGTGTACCATTAGTTATTGCGAGCATATAAACACACCAATTTCGCGTATTAATAAGATCTTATTTTATCGTATTTAGACTCAATTACTGTAGACTACTGTAATTCAAAATTACCAGTAATTCACTGTACAGTCGTACACCATTTGTTATTGCGAGCATATTATCACATTTGTATCAACATCATAATGGACGTAATGAAAAGTGAACGTAACAAAACAATTTTTATTTCTAAATTAATTCTAATGGTTACAAATTTCGGTTCCATAAAATGTTAAACAATGAAATCCAACGGCGAACTTGCTCCTTAAGTAAATGTAAGTGCTATTTGAAAATCAATAATTCCAACACAGTTCTTGGTAGTTTTGAAGATCACAAACACAATAAACCAGATAAAAAAACTTTGAACCGACAGAAAATAAGCAATTGTTCTCAAACAAAAAGCTGTTGAAGATATTTCAAGGAAGCCATCTAAATTTTTACATCCCGAATAACTGATAGAAAACATAAATACATTAACTTTGTCAGATACGACTCTTATTAAAAGAAATACACGAAATATTCGATCAACTGTACTCCCTAATTTACCAAAAACTGTAATTGATGTGCATGAAGTTATTAATATAATAATAATTAAAACGAATACGGATGAACCCTTTCTAATTGTTAATGATCATGATAATAATACTATCGGGTTTTCAACAATGTTCAACTTAATGATTTTATGTGATACATACGATATATACGGTACTTTTAAAAGTAGTCCCAAATATTTTTTACAAATCTTTACGATTCGCGCACTTGTGAATGAAATGTATGTATATACAGGATCTGTATAATTTTTTTTTATTGCCAAATAAGGATACCAAATCTTATTTTTACTCTTTTAAGGTCCCCACACACTGCAACGTAGCGGTAAAATTGATTTGTCTTGGCGGTGTCTCCGCGGTGGCGGTAAATTGTGTCCGGACTCATTTTGCCGCTACCGCTACAGTGTGTGGGGACTGGGGACCTTTAAGTATACGATGGATCAGTATACAATTGTTGGCTTAACATTTTCACCAAAATATATTTCATTGAGTTTGAAAAATCAATACATAATGCTGCACAGAAATTTTTGCCAGCAATTAACATTAAAGGTTGTCGTTTTCACCTAGGACAAAATTGGTGGAAAAAAGTACAATGCCTTGGCTTAACCATAAAAATATTTTTATCGACTTGAGTTTAAAAAAAAAAAACAAATAATAATCGAAATTTTAATATGCCTATAAATAGTTCAACACGAATCAAAATATTTTGAAAATTGTATGGTGTATTGAAAATGTTTACACAAATATTCAGTGAAAATTTAAAGTATCTACGGTCATTTTTGTTAGACCTACAAACACAGTTTTGCGTAAAAATTCCCGTTTTTCCTTAATTTTATGTTTGTTTTTCCTGTTGCTTTTGAAAACTATTGGGAATTTTAATTACCAGAAAAGTTGCTGTTGAAGAAAATCAAAGTACTTCTACTGCAAGAAACCGTGATGAGATACAAAAAAAAAAAAATGAATATAAAAAAAAACATCATTGTAAAATCAATACATTCGTCGCGCCGCTCATAATCTTAAAGTAAGTTTTATAGGTACGTAAATTACCTTACAATTAATTTGGAGGTAGCATACATAACGATACAACATGCAAAAATGTCTATATTTAACCAAAGGTACCTTTTTAGTAATTAGCAAAATTTGTAAAAAAATACTTTTAAAACGTATTTAAGTAATTACTCAAATAATTTAAAAATACCACCCAAATACTATTTATAGTAAAGTATTTGAAATAACCTCCAAATAGGTACACAAAATTCTAATTAGTTTTGAAATAATTTTAAAAATTAAACCATGTGCAATAGTGTCTGGTCCGTTATTATTGTTAATAATATTTTATATAGAGTTGTTTTTATACAGATCGCAGGATGCGATAGGAATCTAATGCCTCGGAGATTGAACCCGCGCTACCAACCAACCGACCCTTTTTCTCAGAAATAACAACCCTGAGAACTCCGCGGACGTTTCCCGGCCGTGTTTACCGACAGCATCTTTAATTCACCCTCGACAAGTCTACAAATCAATGATGGCGAAAATATTTAATATTGTACATCGGTCGACGGGTACTGAATTTTGGCATCACTGCTCCACCTGAACGCCCACCCGGCCCCTCGAAATCTTCGGGTCTATGGAATGTGAGTACAGCCGACCTCGAAG